GGAGAGGGAGGGAAGGAGTGATCTAAAAAATCTTATTCTGAAATTCTTTTTTCCCTCTCTTTTTGTTTGTGTAGTTAATAAATTTTCTTTTATACTCTCTCAAGTTTTAGGCCTGCCTTGCTCTTTTGCTCCTGGTTCTGTCTCACAACAAGAAAAATAAGTTTATTCAAATTGGCAACTCAAACTCAAGACAGCTTTCCAGGCAAGGAAGGGCTTGGGCTGCTCCACTGCCCTTGCTTGCTTTGAGATCACCATTACTTTTGGGGGCAGTGCAGGGGGAAAGGGAAAAACCATGGGCTTCCCTCACCCCTGAATGAATTTTTCCCTGGCATGTAGAGGTTGGGCCTTCCTCAAGCCCCTTACCTTTTCTCGTGTCTCCCTTTTTGTCTGTAATCTATTTTCATTCACTTGTCGTTTGTTTCTCTAAAGGAGGCATTCTAGGTGGGGTCCAGTGTGGATCAGGAAGTGCTTGGGCCCATCTGCAGCATGGATGGGCCGTGTCCTTGGAGAAGGCTGAGGACATCGTTTGGGACCAGCTTTTCTTCTGGCGGTGATGGTCCCCGTCTCCTTGACATGGTGAGATAAGAGCTTTTGGGAGATGGCAGTGAGCACAGGAGCATCCTGCTGTGGCAGCTGCTGAGGAGGTGGATGTGCCATGGCTGGCTGCAGGCTGGGGCACAGTCCTGCCCTCCTGCTCTGTGCCCAAGGCAGCAATGATGGGCAGCTTTGGGCACCGCTCTGGGCATGGCCAGCACAGCCTGGGCACCGCGGGAGCTGGGACAAGGGGGACAGGAGCCTTCAGCTGACGGGCGGTTTCTGGTTTCTCTCCTTTCAGACGGACTCTGCAGGTGCTGAGGCTGCTTTGGGCTCTGCCAGGGCTCAGCTGCAACTCAGCACCGGGCCGGAATCAGCCAAAGGAGAAATGGTGTGACCTGCAGCAGAGACTTGCTTGAGCATTTCAGCAATGCTGCTCAAGTTTGCAGAGTGTACACCTGCAGGGGAAAACATGACACCCCCCAAAAATTAAACTTGTTCAATACCTTCTGAAATGAAATCAATCTGGGATGACCCCAAATGACATTTTTCAGCTTGCTCAAGCTGTAGCTCAGCCCTTCTCTGAACAGTTCTCCCCCCCACCTGCCTTTTACTTCACAACTGCTCCCTCCTTTCCCCCAGTGAGCTCCCAGCCCATTGCAGTCTCCATCACACTGGTGCCTTCCTTGATGCCCCTCACCACGAGGAAGGCCGAGCCCCAGGCTTAGGGACACATCCTGACACTGGCTGAAGAGCAGCAATGTCTCAGAGGCCTGATGAGATTTTAGTGTCATTCAGAGCTGCTCTCCAGCCCTCAGCTCTCCTCACTGCTGAGTTCCCACTCCCTTTTCCTCATCCTTCCAGCAGGATGAGCTCTGTGACTCCCCTTGAGCCTCCCCGCCCCTCCCAGCCCACCCACCCAACTCAGTTAGTCTTAAGCTGAAGCTTCTTTGTTTCCTCTGGCACTTCAGTCCAGTCCCCTCTGCAGGGAGCCCCAGCCCCAGAGCACAGCACACAACAGTGCAATCCGGGCTGGACCAGCTCCCCTCCAGCCCTGGCTTGGCTGTTTGTGGCAGCTGAATGCTCCCTGTTTGCAGCTGTCACTGCAGGATGGCCCCAGGGCAGAGCCCAGCCAGGCTCCCACTGCATCCCCTGAAGCTTGGGGCAGACGGTGGTCCCAGGGCTGAGGTTCATGGGGAGCACCCAGAGCTGTGGCTTGCAGTCAGTGTTTGCAAGTGTTGTGTTCTCATCTCCTGCAGCCTGTGGGGAAAACAACCTGTGCTGCAGCTCAGCACTGCCCCTCTGGGCAGGGACAAGGCTGAAGGGCTTTCCCATTCCAGAGGAGCCAGCATTGAGCCTTGGTAGGGTCTGGCATGACTGGAGCTGGGTCTGGTTCCCGTTTGGGACGCACTTCCCGCTCACCCCACTGCCCTCCCTCACCCATGGGCAGAAGGGTCAGTCTGTGCAAGGGGCTCTTGGATCTCTCTGTATCCATGGACAGAAGGATCTGTCTGTGCAGGGGCTCTTGGATGTCTCTGTATCCATGGACAGAAGGGTCTGTTTGTGCCAGGGGCTCTTGGATGTCTCTGTATCCATGGGTAGAAGAGTCTTCCTGTTCAAGGGTTTCCATAATGTCTTTGTACCCGTGGGTATGGAATAACCACAGAGAGTGAAAGTGTCAGTCACATTGCTTGCACACTCCTTCCTTTCTATACAAGACACATCCATGCACACCTCCACGTATGGATATATTAAAAGGATAGGGATGGATAGAGATTTCCCACAGAGCTCTAACTTTGGCATGACTCACCTTGTAAGGCAGCAGCCAGAGGATTTTTTTCCCAGCTCTGTGTGAGTAGGTGTCCAAGAGCTGAAGGGAGAGGCATTTAGAAGCAGTTTTAGGATTTCTAAGCAGGTAGTGGAGTTGACAGCCAGCTACATCTGTGCTGCTGTGCTGGGAGTCTCTTCCCTCCACCTCTGATCACAGGCACTGCCCCTGCAGAAACAGAGAAGGGCTCAGGAAGCACCTGGGTCACACATGGCAGAGAAGGACGCTTTATTTTACCTCATTGCACAGTGATGATGGCTCCTTACTGTCTCTGCTTAACACAAGCACAGTAGATAGTGATGTAGCAATACTGTGACTAATGGCATCCCTTTATGGAAAATATTATCCAAAGTTTAAAAAAAAAGGGAAAAGTAGAACACACCAATTAGAATAGCAAAAAAAGATACATGACACAAAGCAGTCTGGGCAGCCTGTAATGAGTTCCATTTTTAATGTTATGCAGACAGGCACTATATTGTTTCTGGAAAGCAGAGAGTGGTCATATTCCTCAGGGCATCCTCAAGCTCCTGGTTCCTCAGGCTGTAGATGAGGGGTGCAGTGCTGGTGGCAGCACCGTGTACAGAACTGACAGTCCCAGAGCCAGGGATGGGCACCAGGGTGGCACAGGTGACCTTTGGGCTTTGCAGGGCCCAGGCTCAAGGGCTGTGCCAGAGCCAGGACTGAGGTAACACTCTGTAGGCTGGGGCAGAGCCCAGCCACAAATCCCCCCCTGACCCAGCAGGTCTGCAGTGGTGGCCACCAGGCCAGCTTGCCAAGGGAGGCTTCTGGCCATGGCCTGCAGGGAGCTGCTGCTGCCAAGGTGTCTTTGGTGCCTCAGGCTCTCCCTGGCACAGGTCCCACCATGGCACTCTGCTCTTGTGCCTAAGCACTTCCCTGGGCTGGGGCTAGCCTGGGGCTTTTCCTTCACCAGGACCTGGCCTGGCCATGGCACAGGAAAGGCAGTTCCTGCTGGAGCACGAGGCTCCGCCTGGAATGGGCTCAAACAACTCCAACAAGGCCCAGTTTGCAAAGGCCCAGTGGGTAATGAAGGAGAGGGGTCATGTTGATTTTGGGGTGAATAATGCTGAAATCAGCCTGACTCCTCCATCCCAAAGTTCAACATCCTGAGAGGGAGCTGAAGCTGTGGCAGAGCTGGTAAAATCCTCAGAGAAAGGGACAACCAAGTGACATCACTGAGAACTTGTGCAGAGCTGCTGAGCTGACACAGCCTGGGCACATCTGACTGACAGGGCAGCATTTCAGACTAGAAAAGCCCCGTCCCAAATTTTAGTGGCAGCATCTCCTGACATTTCCCTTCTTGGGGGGTGTGCAGATTCCTCCCTGGAGTGGAGACACCTGTCAAGGTCACAGCTTGAGGCTGAGCTAAAGAGATTTGTTCAGGGTCATTGGTCTGGGGGAGTGACACCCATCCCTACTTAGTTCTGCTTTGATAAAATTGCTTCAAAATTGCTTCCTAGAGCACTATATTTAAATCGATGTTACAGCTCCTATACTGTGGAGTAAATAAT